GAGCATGGTGAATGCCAGGTCTTTTGTAAAATCCTCTTGGGGACAATTTCTCCTCATCAACCATATAGCTTGGGGCATTTTAGAAGTGAAGTTATTCGCAAGAATTGTCGTGCAACATGCAGCTTATCAGCAGTAAACTTGGGGCATCCAAAATTGATCCCAGGGGCAATCCAGATTTGTCAAAGATATGTGATATGTTTTGCACACATTATCAGAGGGTGGTGTTCCCAGTATCTCCAGTTAAGCATGGTTTTTTCCAGCTAAAGCATTGTTCGTATTGTTATCCTTTCAATGGATTGTTTGCAATAGAAGAATGGACTTTGGATTTTCTACCTGAAAATATCTTCCTCCCCAAAGAGATTTAAGCCTTGTAAAAGGACCTTGCTCCAATGATGGCCTGTGTTTTATCTCCAGTAATGCTCCCATCCTGTTGAGATTAGCCGAGTGTTGGGTTGTGCTATGACGCCTTATCATCTTCAGTCTATCTCCCCTGTCTGTTTTGTCAGCATATACATAACATTCATTTATTCATTCACACTTGCATCATGCATGCACAGTTGTATTTGTTGATGTCATTGAGTTCGTACACCTTGGTTATGTCTATTCAAATAGCGTATTTGATCTTTCCAAATAGAGTGCCAACTTAAGCAGAAAGTGCGTCTTCTTTCTAATTCCCCACTGAGTTAACTCTCGTGGAAGAATCTTGCTTTAGCTTTCCTTTTCCATCTCTGGATAGGATAAATCCCCATTTGAGTTGTTTCCTCATTGGGTGGAGTCTTGTTTGACTATTTTCTCTCCAGTTTATTCCTGGATTGAGCTGTGTCTCTTGTGAACGATACCCTGTGAATATCTCTAGGCTGTGAAACCTAGATGGAGAGTGCATTTATTTTGCAACATAAATACCTGGTCTCCTCAAGAAGGATTTATTCATAGTTCCCCATTGAAGATGAACTTTATTCCCCAGCAGTGTTATCACAATCTTCTTCTGGAATATCGACATGACAATAAGCGACTGACTCTTTATTTGAGCAGTTTGATTATTTCTGATTTCTTTTTGACAAATGGCGGTCTCTTCATGAGCAGTTTGTCCATCCTCGGTGAAATTATTGACTCTCACCTCCAGTAATATCTTCATGATATTTTATGGGTATCTTTGAGAAAACAACAAGCGGCAGTTTCTTCATGAGACAACTTGTGTGTTATGGATACTCTTGACAAACAGCAAGCGGCAGTTTCTTCATGAGACAACTTGTGTGTTATGGATACTCTTGACAAACAGCAAGCGGCAGTTTCTTCATGAGCAACTTGTATGTTACTGATACCTTAGAGAAAACAACAAGCGGCAGTTTCTTCATGAGACAACTTGTGTGTTATGGATACTCTTGACAAACAGCAAGCGGCAGTTTCTTCATGAGACAACTTGTATGTTACTGATACCTTAGAGAAAACAGCAAGCGACAGTTTCTTCATGGGACAACTTGTGTGTTATTGATACCTTGAAAAGACAACAAGCGGCAGTTTCTTCATGAGACAACTTGTGTGTTATTGATACCTTGAAAAGACGACAAGCGGCAGTTTCTTCATGAGACAACTTGTGTGTTATTGATACCTTGAAAAGACAAAAAGCGGCAGTCTCTTCATGAGACAACTTGTGTGTTATTGATACCTTTTAAGAAAGCAACAAGCGGCGGTCTCTTCATGAGCAACTTGTGTGTTATTGGCAATTTTGAAAAGAAATAGCGAGCGGCAGTCTCTTCATGGACAACTCGTATGTTATCAACACTTTTTGAAAACGGCAAGCGGCGGTCTCTTCATGAGCAACTTGTATGTTACTGATACCTTAGAGAAAACAGCAAGCGGCAGCCTCTTCATGAGCAACTTGTATGTTATTGTCACCTTTAAAAACAGCAAGCGGCGGGCTCTTCGTGAGCAACTTGTATGTTATTGACACCTTTGAAAGATAGCAAGTGGCGGCCTCTTTATTTGAGTAGCTTGTGTATCTCCAACAATAATGTCTACTCAGCAAATGGCATCCCTTTCGGAAAAGTCCCGTGAGGAAGTTTGTTATTTTATCCTTTTCAAGCGATATCTTGGTTAAAGAAGAAATGTGTTACGGTTCTTGGTAAAATTCGGAAATCAGAGATGTTTATCTCCAGCCACAGTGCTGATGTCAATCACTTTGTTTTCCAGCCACAGTGCTGATGTCAATCATTTTGTTTTCTAGCCACAGTGCTGATGACAATCATTTTCCAGTCTCAGTACTGTTGTCCATCATTTCTTTTTCCAGTCACAGTGCTGATGTAAATCATTTCTTTTTCCAGTCTTCGTACTAATGTAAATCATCTCTTTTCCAGTCTCAACACTGATGTAAATCATTCAAGAGTCTCTCATTTGAAGTCTATGACTTTGTTTCCCCAATGGAGTTACAACCTCTTCCTCTGTGGGATTACTGTATAATGTGCTTGGTTTCTCCAGCATAGTCTGTCTCATATGGCGTCATTCCCCATAAAATTCAAAACATCACATTCATATCATATTGTAAACATAATCGCGGTATCTTAAGGCCAAAAATTGTGTATTCTATATTTAAGTCCCTTCAATCTCGTCGAAATGAAGATCCCAATCTTCATATCTCCAGATAGAAGAAACTTAAATAGGGGCAGCTGTTGTACCCCAATTTTTGACCTAAGATCCCACTTGCATTTTTGCATTTTTTATACAAAAGTCAAGGTCACTAAATACGGTCGGTTTTAACCTCTTACCTTCGAGCTTTGACTATGTGAAGATTGTCAAGTGTTTTGAAAATTCTTAGCCTATGTATCACTAACTTCTAATCAAGCACGAAGTGTGTGTGTTTTTCGTTTCTTTGATTTCATTTGCAGGAAACAGATCTGAATCAAGAGCATCAGGCGTCACGCCTCGATTAGGGTTCGGAATCTCTCAATCCGGAAGTACAATTGATCGTTGATTCTTGAAGACTGACATCAGGGCAATCGTGTGATTATTTCCACGCTCTGTTCAATAAGTGGTCTCAAGCTTCTCCACGACTTCCTCAGAGCACGAACAAGATTTCATCATCACTGGTTCACATGTGTATCAAGATGCTTAGAATGAGAAGAAAGATCGAGTTTGCGAGTCAATTCAAAGCACTTTGACCAAAAGTCAATACTTACACATCCAAGTTCAAACGATCGTAACTTTTCATTATTCAACATTTTTGAATGGTCACTTTTGCGTACAATTTTCTTTGACGTCATCTCTAACCCCTCTTTACCAGTCAAGGTCTGATTAGGTGCGGAGGATCATCAAAAGTTCGGATACTTAGAGGTCACTTTGATGACTGTGGCCCAATCTCAAGTAACAATTACTCGACTTTCAAGGATCGTAACTATTTCGATTTTCATCATTTCGGGATGGTTCTTTTTGCAACATATCACAAATGATGTCATCAACAAGATTGCTTCAAGGATCGACATCCAAATGCGTTTGGAAGGCCATGAAATTCGCTTGAACATTTTAGACTTAGAATTGATTTTGTGTTGAGATTGTTCTCCACTAAGTCAAGGGTAAAAGCAAGATGTTGAGAGTGAGGATTCATTGATTATATATTGCTATAATACAAGTTTCTTGTATTCGAGCATTAGTAATTAGTGAATTAAAATTGGATATAGATCAAGTTTCTTTGTTTGTTCATCAAGATTCGGTTGATGGTAAAAGGTTTAGGTGTTTTATTTGGAATGCATCTCAAGGTAAAAAAGGACCATTCAAGGAATCCAAGTTCATTCAATTCTAAATTCAAGAGTTTATGAAAGACATTCAAGTCTTATTTGACTAAAATGTTATTCAATAATTATTTCAAGTCCAGACTTTATTCAAAGTTCAATTTCAATTCAAGTCTCATTTAATCATATTCAAATTCAAATTGTGCAAGATTCTTTCAAGGTTCTTTTCAAAAGTGATGCTCTGTATTAATTCAAGATTCATAATGCACCTTGCAAGTCGACATTCATTCAAGAGTTTTATGGACATATCATGTTCAACAAGAATCATTACAAACTCATTCAAGTTCAAAAGTCAAGAGTGAATGTCATCTTATCATACAAAATTTCATCAAAGATACATTCATGACAAGAGTTATTCATCCATAAGTTAGGAAATTTACAAGGATCACTCATCATTTCAAGATATTATAAGAAGATTACACAAAAGTTTACATATATTCCTAAGTCCTAATCCTGTCCATTGTCCATGATTAAACCCAAGTTTACCTAAATCTTCATGCTCCAAGTCTTGTAACTTTAAAGCTTGCAAATGAAGACTTGCCAAATCCTTGCTAAAACCTGCCCAAACCACTCAAAAAACTATCCCTGCTGTGCTGCTGTTCGGAACAGCCCAATGTTGTTGTCTATCTCTAAACTTCCCTGCAACAATAGACAAAAAAAAACAATATCAAAACTTTCCCGAAATATGCAAAAAACCTGCTACTGCTGTGATGTAAAACCTGTCCAAAAGCAGTATAAAATTTCACAAAAATAGGAAAGCAAATCCTGCATCAAAAAAAGGAAGAATCAGCCTATTACATTTTGTCCAAGACACACATTTTCCCTCCAAAAAAATTCATTCTGAAGGCGGGAAAACAAAGCAAAAACCTGTAGAAATTTCTAATAACTTGGCTCCAAGTTGAGAACAGGCTCTAGAAGATCACCTGCTGTCAAATGAAAAACACAAAAAAAACATATACAACAACCTCAAGTTCTCTCTCACTATTCCATTCATCCTCTCCTCCTGCCATTCAATAACCTTCTTCCGCTAACTCCCTTCATCTCGCCTTCCCAATTCCGCTAGCGGACCTTACGCCCTCTGTATCTCTTTTTCATCACCTTCGAATAGCACCATCTCCCTCCTCCTCGTCAAAATACACACATAAAACCCACCTTCACATTAATCCCTTTTATTGCCAGTATAATGAACCATCCTATGTCAAAAAGTTGAAACTTGAAATGCTGACTGCAGTTGCAAATGAAAGTAACATCTACGAGATAGTGACAGAATTATGTGAAGATGCTGCAAATGTTGATATCCCAATAGCAAGGGAATCAATTCGAGCTGTTGGCAAGATAGCACTGCAGCAGTACGATGTCAATTCCATTGTTGATCGACTTCTACAGTTTCTGGAGATGGAAAAGGACCATGTTACATCTGAAGCTCTGGTGCTTGTGAAAGATCTTCTAAGAAAATATCCTCAATGGAGTCAGGATTGTATTGCGGTTGTTGGGAATATCAGTAGCAACAATGTCCAAGAATCTAAAGCTAAGGCAGCTCTCATATGGATGTTAGGAGAGTATTCTCAGGAGATGCATGATGCTCCGTATGGCCTGGAAAGTTTAATTGAAAATTGGGACGAGGAACATTCTGCCGAGGTTCGCTTACATCTTCTTACTGCAGTAATGAAATGTTTCTTTAAGAGACCCCCCCGAGACTCAAAAAGCATTAGGAGCTGCACTGGCTGCTGGTCTTGCTGACTTTCACCAGGATGTTCATGATAGAGCCTTGTTTTATTACAGGCTTCTACAATACAAAGTATCAGTGGCAGAGAGTGTGGTGAATCCTCCCAAACAAGTACAAGCGCAACCGGTCAAGCTCCAGCATCTATCATGGCAATTGATGATCTGTTTGGTTTAGATTTTTTCAGTTGGGACTGCAACCGCACCGCCACCTCCCCCATTGACCCTCAACCCGAAAGCTGTACTGGATTCTGGCACATTTCAGCAGCAATGGCGTCAACTACCCATATCCTCATCAGAGGAATATTCATTAAGCCCTCTTGGAATTGCATCCTTGACAACTCCCCACGCCACCTTCCATCATCATCACCTTCACCTTCTATCCAAAGACAAAACGCACATCACCATCACCACAACCCCAACCTGCATCATATTTAACACGACTGTAAACTACTGGCCCTGATTTATCAATCTGCATCCATCAAAACAATAACAGAAACGCACACGGAAATCTGAACAACAACACAGGGGCGTAGAAAGAATTACAAGATGAAGGAATGAAGTATAAGAAAAGGTAATTTCGTAGCAGAGAACGAGGAACACACGAATCATTACCTTAAGATCTTTAGTCTTTGCTTGATTAAGCCTTCGAGGAAGAACCACCGGAGTGTCTCCGGTCGGTAAGTAACTAATCTTGTCATTCTTCAATCTTCTCACTTCATAATCCATATTATAGTGTGTTTTCAGATCGATAAATGTTCTTGTCATCACTTAATTTGATTATTAGATGCGTTAGGATCCGATTTGGGGTTTGCGGCTAGGATTGAATGAGAACGAGGTAGAATCTGTAAAGTGTCGTGAGCGAAGGAGATGAGACGAACCTGGTGGCGAGACGAAGTGAGGCGGAATTGTAGAAAGGACAGCGAGCATGGTTGCGCTTGTGGTTGCCTGTGGGTCGTGCGATGAAACTATAGAAAGATATCGGAGAAGAAAGCTCCACGTTTCTGAGCCTCACGAGAATAAGAGAGTTTTCCAGTAAAGGCCAATAGTCACTTCTTTTCAGCCCCCCTAGACTCCTAAACATTGCCGTTTCATCACTACTATTTTCTTTTTTTTCTCTTAACCTTCTTATTTTCTTTTTTTTTTTAATAATCAGAAAATAATATCAAAAGAGTTGATGGGTCTGAGTTGCAATTCTACTGGGCCTTGCGCCTCTGTTTCTGATCATACTCCCTGACTTAAATTCACACCCCATTTTTTTTATGTGCTTTTTTTTAGTTTAATTCTATTCATTTTTCTTAGCTAAACTTATTTAATTTAGATTAGTTAGTTTATTAGAAATAAACATATAGTTTTGATTAGACAACTTTTGATAATAATTTTAGTTTAGAATTATTCTAGTAATTTTGGATTTTTTAATTTAGTTAGTAAAACTTTAGAATTTTAGTTTAGTTTAGATTTAACTTAGTAATTTTTAATTTTAATTTAGCTTAAATTTAACTAAATAACTTAGAGTTTTAATTTAGTTTAGATTTCATTTAGCATCTTTAGAATTTTAACTTAATTTAGAATTAATTTAGTAATATTAGAATTTCAATTTAGTTTAGATAACTTTCGTTTTAGTTAGATATCTTTATTTCATGATCTTTCTTTATCCCTCTATTTAGTTTTTTCATTGTTTATATTGCCATTGTTTCGTTTGTTATTCAAATTTATTTCTTCGTGACTTTTCTTTCATATGTTAGTTAATTTTGTGATATATTTTTTTGGTTTGACTCGTTTTAATTTCTATAGCTTACTCAACTATTTGTTTTCTTTACTCCAAGGGGAAGAATTAAATTTGTTGACCTCACGTCATCAAATACATCTTCTACAATCGTGCGAATAGCCTCATTCATGTTTTGCTTGCTTACTATTTTTCCAAACTTAAGATAATTTTCCCAAAAGACTCCATTTTCAAACTCACCTCTTTTAAGTCAAAACTTCGACACTAGGTCGTCGTATCTTCAAAAATCTCGTCCATACCCATCTTTTAGCCAAACGAACCATTTTAATCAAACAAACAATTTTAACCAAAAACAGATATTTCAGAAGGTTCCTGCGGAGTACCGCAGATGCATTGGGTGCTAATACCTTCCCATTGTATAACCAACCCCCGAACTCTCGATCTCTTTTAAAAACGCATTGTATTTTTATTACTTTTAAGTATTATTATACATTGCATATTTTAGGGTTTTATTTCGCTCTTTTCCCTTTTCCCTTGGAAATAATAAAGCGCGGTGGCGACTCTTGCTTTTGCGAGTCAAGTTAATTAATAGCTTGATCTCCGATTTTCACCGCTACAATATGCAATGGATGGACCGCCAAAAGATGGAGAAATGTTTGAATCAGTATAGTTTGTTAGAGGAAGTGATCCTGAGATGTTAAAAAGAATGACAAGTGCTTGGAAGGAAATTCACAAGAAGGATAGAACTACTTTGGGCAAAAAGGTTCCTATTGCTACGGTTCCTTACATGGAATGGATTAAAGACAGGGTTAAGATTTTACGGTTACCATTTGCATGGTCGACTCCTTTATGTGAGCAACCTCCTGTTGTTCTAAATGACACCATGCCTACCAAGGTTTTCACCCAAGTTCATGTCGAGAACATTCAACTTCGTACAAAAGACCGTGAGGCGGGGATGAAATTCTGTTGGGTAGATCAGGAGAGGGCTGACTTAGCTCGTAAACTCAAAGAAGCCCAAGGAGAAACTTCTGACGTAACTAGGTTTAGAAAGAGGTCTCATGTTGAAATGGAAGAAGAGTTAAATAGGAATCAGCGAGAGTGCCAAAAACTTCGAGCATCTGAAAGTAGCTATAAGAAGAAGATTCAGAACTTGGAAAAATAGCTCAAAAACAAGGATGCTCAGATTGAGAAGGTGGTAGCCCAGAGACGTTCCATGGAGGATCAGTTCTAAGGAAGTAAAGAGCTTGCACCATAACTTTTGAAGCAGAAATCCAGGCTTAAAGAGTATTTCCAACACCTCGAAGCATGCCTTGTTCCAGAGATTTAGTCTTACTATTTACCTTTGATGTTTCGGTCACCCCCAGGATTTTTGGAGGGACCATTTTTTAAAATATTTTATACTTAGTTTTTGTTATGTCTGTCACACTCTTGGTTGTTTGAAATCACATAAACATTATCTTGTGCTTATGAATGAATGAAGTATTTGTTTTGTTAATTTTCATTTTTCTTTAATTGTACAGTTATGATTACATCTGGTTGCACGCCAAGGTTGATTGTTAAAAGGACTCTTGAATACCTGGAAATGACAAACATATCATGCATATCATACATCTCATAACATGACAAGTTATCTCAAGACGGTTTTCTTATTATTATGCTTTTCTTATTCAAAATTCAAGACGACTACTCACCGGTATTCCACCAGACGCAATTTTCCAAGACAGATGGAACAAGTCCAAGCTAAACTCGCTAAAATGAGAGCCCAAATGGCTACTCAGATGACCCAGTTCATGAAGGTCATCACCAATGTGAATCGTCGATAGGAGGAATTGGCTGCCATTGTTAACAATCAACGTCGCTATCCAGTGGATAGTGGGAACCAAGGGCTTTATCAGGACATTTCCGTAGGATTGCGAGAGGTGCAAGACCAACCTATCGGGAATTTTCACGGGCTACCTGGCAACCCTTTTGTGTGCAATGTGGGGCAGTTTCCCCCGTCCCCATGACCTCATCTTGTGGGGAATAGAAGAGATAATCAGGGTGGTATAAAGAACTATCAGGAGCAGGATTATGACTATGATCAGGATGAAGATCAGCTTTCTATTCGGTGTTCTGAGCTGGAGGTTCAGGTTGAGGATAGGATGTATTGGTTGTTGGAAGAAGATTTGAAGGTTGTGGAAGGGAAAGGAGTCCTCGGCATGGATGTTAATGATCTTGGGCTGGTATCTGGGGTGAAAGTTCCTCTAAAGTTCAAACCACCTGGATTTGAAACGTACAACGCATCGTCATGTCCCGTTACTCAAGCAACTTCTTATTTCCAAAAGATGTCGGTGCATACCTTAGATCAGGGGCTTTTAATTCATTTCTTCCAGGATAGCCTATCTGGGGCATCCCTAGAGTGGTACATGAAGTTGAAGAAAACCCATATCTGTTGCTGGAATGATCTTGCTTGGGATTTTGTAAAACATTATCAGTACAATATGGATATGGCGCTTAATCACACTCAGTTACAGAATTTGTCACAGGGACCAAAAGAATCTTTCAAGGAATACGCTCAGAAGTGGCGTGAGCTGGCTGCGAGGGTTCAACCTCCACTCATGGAGCGAGAAATCATTGATATGTTTATGAGTACCTTGCAAGGGCCATTTTACAAACACATGATAGGAAGTGCTTCAATGGGATTTACAGATTTGGTTATGGCTGGTGAAAGAATTGAGGTGGGTTTGAAATTGGGGAAAATTCAGATTGGAGGCTCTAGTGGCTCATCAGGGAGTGGTATGAAACCATTCAATATGTACCCTAAGAAAACGTAAGGCGAAGCAAGTGCGGTTTACTCTCAGGGAGGAAGAAGAGAAGATCGTCAACACCAACAAATTAATGTTGTTTCTATTCCTGTTAATGCTCCTCTGCAGTAGAGACAGAATCTAGCACCCCAACAACAAAGACAGCAAGACGTTCCCCGTCAGTATAATAACCAACAACAGAGGCAGCCAAGAAAGTTCAATCCTTTTCCAATATCTCTCACCGAAGCACTCCACCATTTGCTCGATTTGAAATTAATAAGTTTGAGAAGTACGCCACCACCCACGGGAAGACTTCCTCATAATTATGATGCTAATGCAAGATGTGAATTCCATTCAGGAGGAGTTGGTCATTCTTTAATTGTTTTGCTTAAAATGCAATGTGCAAGACTTGTTGGATGCCACGGAAATCTAGTTTACTCCAACGAATGGTCCGAATGTAGTCCAGAACCCAATGCCTAGACATGGAGGGGGTGTTGTTAATATGATTGACGATAATGGAGAAATGTTGAATTTAGTTGTGAATGTGGAACAGGTGACTACTCCGTTATGGTATGTTAAAAGGTATCTGCTTGACAATTCTATTTTCCCAGGTTGTGCTTCAGATTGTGCCAGGTGTAGAGAGAAACCGAAGGGCTATGATGATTTGAAAGCTGGCATCCAGTTCATGATGGATGAGGGTTCTCTACAGTTTGATAGAAGACCTAGATGTCGAAGGGTTACCGAAGAGGATGTGGTTGTGATATCTATTCCTTACACTCGTGCACGTATTCCTACTCTATCTAGAGCGCCTCCTTTGACGATTAAGGTACCTGGTCTCATACCGTATACTAGTGAGAAGGCCATCCCATGGCATTATGGTGCTGATGTTTATTACCACGGGGTGAAGCAACAGATAAATCCTAGCTTTT